ATTATCGAATGATTTTATATACTTACAATATTGTATATACTTTTGACCTAATTTCTGGGAGAACATAAAAAATAATGTATTTACCGAAAGAAGGCCTTACGATATCGTTCTGAAGAGAGTCGAGTCGATCGAAGCGTTATCGACGTGAAAGATCAGCTGGTACGGTTGGGTTCGTCGTTAATTAACGATGCAAATGCGATTCGCAACGGTGCTAAAGAGGGGCCGGTGTGCAAAACTTTGTCGTCGTTTTCCTTCTTGTTGTTGTTGTTGTTCTTATCGTCGTTGTCGTCGGCGACAACGACGACGACGAGGACGACGACGACGTTCGACCGCCTACACCTCGTAGCGAAAAAAGGATATCTTTTCCTATATACTTTACGTTCTTATATATACTTGTTAAAACTCGAACGCAACTCGCAGGTGTAAGGGCGAGCACGGGCCGCCCTTTTTCGGTCACTCTTTCTTCCACCGCTTTTGAATTCTCAATCGTATCGCCAGCAGCATCGGAGAAACCGCTTAATTGCGGGTCCAGATAAGTAATTATCGATGTTATTTCCTGTTAGGTGAGTCCCTGACGTATCCGGGGTGCCAGCTGCTCCATTGGAAGTACTACGATGAGGACAACGACGACGACGACGACGACAACGACAACGACGACGAATCGAACTTTGTTTCTTGGTTCCGTCGAATGCACTGGCGATGCTTTCGAAAGATATCCAACTAACGGGTGATACGTGAGATAAACGATGCGAGACAGGTACTTAAATTGAATTTTTAATAAGCCTATCTACGCACATCAATCTACTTATATATCTACTTATATCTATTTTCGATCGAGCTCTCTGCGTAATTTCTACCGGTTTCCATAAATACGGAACTACGGTATGTCATTAAATATGTTACTTTGTTAAACAAAAAGTTTGACTAACGAACTATCTCGAATCATTTATTCGTACCAGGTGTACGAGTAATTTCTTTTTTAGATACTAGTAAGCTCGTAATTTATAGTTCACAAAAGTAATTACACACAACGTTGCTAGATAGGTTTCTATATAATGTTAATACTAAATTTTTCCTCGGGAAATCATGACGCACTAGATGCGGGCGCCGTCCAGGCCGCTCTCGTTTTCCTTCAACGACTTCCTGCATTTGCCCCGAAGTCGAGCATTAACGAAATTGCATGTAAGCAAGACTCTAACTCTCTATGACTTTCCGATTTTTTATCGATCCCTTTTATATACCCTCATGACTATAATAAAATTTCCAGTTTGATGTGAAATATTAAGAGAGAACTCTTACGATGAGTTTTGCTTATGGACAAGGGAAACCAGTCTTGACAGGAGTTTGTCTCGTTCAAGGACGAAAGTAATTAACTTTTCGAGAGTTGTTTCGCTCCTTGGAATCATCGGCCAGCTCCTACGACTTCCGATCGAAGGGTATAAGGAGCTTGCGATTAATCTCTTGAGATTTTCTCCCGTGAAAAGACTTCATGGTACGAGCGACGTGATTATCGGTTAACGTGCGTTATCATTAAAGACTATTCTGCGATGGTACGAGTACACGTAGTAGTAGTGGGATATATCTGTGGTCCGGCAAAAGAAAGAGCGTGTACCAATCTCTCGCGGCTTCATAAAACTGGCCGTGTGTCCGGTAATAACGTGCGAACGCGCTATCCATCAGTCGGGACAAAACAGTTAAGCGGTCGTACGCCTCGCAGGAGAAAGAGAGAGAAAGAGAGAGAGAGAGAGAGAGAGAGAGAGAGAAGAAGAGAGAGAAGCGATAATGAACGTCCGTGACTCATACCGGACATCTCTGGACATAAGGCTGAGAAAAAGTTTGTCGTGGATCTTTTCGTGTAACTTGAAGAAGGTCTTGACTTTAATAGAAAAAAAAGAAACAAAAGAAAAAAAAAAAAAAAAACAAAACAAAAAATACAGAAAAAAAAACCAAATTAAAGAGAAAAAATAGATCATTTTTTTTTCCTTTAGATTTTCTATCGCTATTGATTAGGAAGGATATCGTAAGAGCAAGTAAATGATGAAGGTCCGAGCTGTTCGTCGTTAATGTTTTCGAGTAATTGGAGCGACCGAGATCGCCACCTGCTGATTCGATATCGTTGTCGTTGCGTAGCTTAATTCGAGTGCCCAGTAGTTTGAAGTCCATATCGGTCAACCGGATCGTTCCGTATTAAAGTCCGTTTTATGTGGTCCGGCCTTATTAACCGGTGAAGGTGGTGACTAATTAAATTTCTGAAGTTGTGGACTAGATTAGGTGCGTTCACACGAATCCATTCGTGATGATTTGCTTTTTCTCTTTTGGTTTGTTCCGAAACTCACATACATACGTATAAACTAACACGAATTATTTTTCTTGGTAATACTGACCAAACTAACTCCGGGATGTCAGAGGGATGAACGTGACATAAATCTACCTTAATGATATCACACGTAACGCGCAGGGCGACGTTATCTTCTGTTTCAGTACACGCGAGAACACGTGAGAAGACACCTCGCGATCCCCTTTCATAACATCGCGATCGTCCAAGAAAGATTCTATCGTCCAGTTTTTCTCCAAGTTCTTCCTGCCTGTTCTCGTGGTCATTTAGAAGAACTCACTTCGTCGTTGACCCCTCTCGCCTGACCTCGCCCTTGAACAACGGTGAAATCTCCCTCTTCCTTTCTCTTTCTTGTAACTCCTTTTAACTCTTTCCGTATTTGGAAGATTCATTCCTTCGCAATTTAACGTGGTTTTAATCGTCGAAAAGATTCTCCGAGAGTTCTAACCTCGAGTAATTCCATCTTTCGATAAATTAATGATAGATATTTAAAATCTTTAAATTAATTATAAAATGGAATCAATTAAAGAAAGAGAAAGAGAGAGAGAGAGAGAGAGAGAGATTTGAATAAGAAGAAAATAGCAAAAGAATAATGATTCGATTGAAATAATACTCATAAATTTGTCAATACAATTTCTTCTCGATCTATCTATATTGTGAAAGATTTTTTTCTACCCGACGAATAATCTTTGAAAATTATCCTGCTTTCAATTTGTATCTCGCTTCTTATCTGTCTCATCTGTTGATGCTTCTTATCTGTCGACGATACGCATAGGTACATATTTCGATAGTTATGTCTCGTTAAATAATAAATATGATCTTATTACCAAGCAAAATTAACGAAAAGGCCCACCTTTCTCTCCCCTTTTTATCTTATCGTTATTTCGACCCTTGCGACACGTACATTTCTTTTCAACCGACGAAGAGCTAACATAACTAACATAAACGAGTTCCAGCGTTAACTCGAACGGAGAATTCGTTACGCTCAGGGTGGCTCGGAAGCAACAACCTTGAATTTCATATAATAGCCACAATCGTCTATCACGTTCTTCCTGTATTCCATTTCATAACTTATATGTATGTGTATATATGTATTTTTTTTTTTTTTTTTTTTTTTTAATTGGGTTTCGTAGTATTTAAAGAAGAACAAGATTTCATATGAAAGCGTAGAGGAGTTCATTGGTATTCTTATAAACTATGTGGGTGGCAATTTTCAAGGACGTTTCTTTAAAAGAATGTAGATCGTAATAATAATCTTGATGGGCTCATTAACCAGAAGAATATAGTCGAGATCCCTGTCGGCTTTTAGGATGGCATTATTAGGTGAGATAATAAGTATATATTATGAAGAGCACAAGTGAACGGGTACGTAAGACATAATGCATGGCCGAGTACTCGTTATCGTTCACAATGGCTCACATGCTGTGTTCCCGAAACTACTGACTGGCCAGTCCGAATCAAAAACTACCGATCATCAGCGTTATTTCATTGGAAATGAAAAGAAAGAAAGAAAAAAGAGAGAGAGAGAGAGAGAGAGAGAGAGAGAGAAACGTGGAAGTAAAACGCAGGGATATTTATTTTATCGAGTAATCGATCGTTGTGTAAAATGACTGAGAAAGTATTTTAGAAAAGTTGTAAGGATGTTTACGTAGAACATTTATTAAAGTTATTCGATCGATCAATCATGATTTCTCTGTTTCAATAGTCAAGCTTGATAAAGTCCTTATACTCGTATGGATATGACTTTATTTACCGGTTTTCATTTCACAAAGCCTGATAAAAATTGTAGATCTTAAAGATACGACGGAATAACTTTCGGAGGTTTCACTACGAGCATCTATTATTCTTTTTTCTCATCTTCGTTGTCAGAGGACGGCGGACCCTCCGCAGAGAATCGTTGTATAACAGGTGAAATTCATGCGGTTGGTCGTAGCGGAATAAGAGAAGAAAAAAGAAAGAAAAAAAAAAAAAGAAAAAAAGAAAAAAGAAAAGAAGTATACGTTTTGATAGGGAAATCACCGTTAGATTCGCATTAATATCGAGTGACGGATTCTCCGGTAGTGTCACGGCTACTTTCAAAAAGGAAGGAAGAAAGAGAGAGAAAGTCTCAAGGAAGAATAGAGAACACTTAGATCGGTGTATTGTGATCGCACACGGGACCCTGCGGGACGTCCGAACGGTACCGGGAATCGGCAGGCTCTTTCTCAGTGGGGACCGGTAAATACCACTAATCACTTCTCGATCCTTTCTAACCCGCCTTGACCTCTCTCCTCGAAGAGTTATGGTCGTTGGTTTTATTCAGACTACCTTCGCCAGGACCTCGACCCTCGTTCGCGCCTGAAAGTCGTGCCAATGCACCGCGAAAAGCCACGGGAGAAGACCAGGAAGGTTTCGCTCGCTTCCTTTACGATCTTTGAAAAAGCAACGATTCGTTTCGCGACTCACCGAGAAAGGTGAGCCTAAGAACGAAACACGCCAGTGTTTCCTTCATTTTCAGGATAGAGGAAAACGTAAATACGAATGGGTTGCCTTTATGCAACGCGGTACGAAATTTATGTATGATTTGACATTTATTATCAAACGGGACGACGTTACAAGGAATATTGA